ATTTGGTTTGACTGTGTCAATCTAAGACCAATAAACTTCTTGCAGATGCCCGGACGTAATTATGTGTCAAACTTTAAGACTCGAAATTTCCTTATCGAAAGTCGTGTCCACAAATCGACTGCAGATTGAACTTTGTGGCTGTACTGCACACGCGAACCAAATCAGCTACCCAACAGATCTAAGAGTGTTGTGTATCAGCCCGGACGCATCCATCCATGTAACATAGTGGTCTGGTTCTGGATTTCAAAGTTTGGAGATATCTTCTCAGCTCATGCTTTGTACCTGTACTGTAATATAATTGAAGTACCATAAATTCGAACCTATATCTCACTATGCTAAAATGTTTTCAGCCTTTATTCTTCGACTCGTTTGCAATCGACCAGCATCCTCCATTGTTTGTATGTCACATTATAATGTGACCATTGCAATTGTCTTCAATCTCATAGTCTTTTAGGTTAATAAAAGGGTGGTCAAGGTTGATTATTGAACTTATTATCCCTGGTACGGTAGCCAGAATTTCATGTTGTCCACAGGATCTAAAGTTCTTGTCGGATTCGATCTGAATGTAGGCTAAGCTACAGACAAATTTTGTCGAATTTCCAGGATAAAGCTAATCATGAAATTCTTGTGAATCCCACGTTATGACTAATAACTCCACCATGGAGAAAGCTTTCCATTACTTCTACATGTACTGTTGAAAATGTCATGGATGGAATTGAATTTCAGCTTGTTCTGCAAGATGCAGTTCGGATTAAGGTGTTAACACACACACACACACTCTCTCTCTCTCTCTCTCTCTCTCTCTCTCTCTCTTTGTGTTCTGTGGGATTCCATCAGTTTCCATGAAACAATATTAAGTTACCAGGTATTGGCTCTTATAAGATGCAGTTTTGCCTCCGAGATCCCATTCTTGGAGGAAGCCAGTGTAGACTGTCAAAACATTCAAAATATAGCAATTAGGATCACCCCTCCTAGAGAATACCATGATTACACCTAGCTCATGACTCATCACGATTCATCTAACAACCAACTTTACTCTAGCCTGCCTTACTCCACCTTGCATTTTGAGTCGGGAACTGCACATCATTCCAATTTAGTCGACAGCGTGAATCACCAGAAAATCCAAGTGAAGCCACAGGCTATCTGAGGATGTACTTGCATCGCTAGAACAAGAGTGATGTATTTCTCAAACTCGCTCCACAGAATGCCCGAGAGCAACAAAGCAAGCAATCCGAAAGCAGAAATCAATCAAGAGGAAGATGCATAGGTTCTTCTGTATACAATAATATTTTCTCCCTCCATGACTTTATTATATAGACATCGATAGGTGGTAGCTGAAGCGTTTAGTACTTCAGATGTTGGCATTATTCCAGACCAAAGTCTCTGGTCAATATTAAACAAAACTCTGGTTCATGAATCGTCAAAGCAAAGACTTTGTCCACGAACAATACGAGAACCTGCGGATGTTCCGCTAAGTGATTCGGGACGCGGCAATGTTAGAAAAATAAATACACATGTGCTGTTCAAATCAAGAACATCACCAGCGTTGGACATGGGCTGTTTTTGCAATAACAAGGTCCGTGTATCGACGGAACAATAGGTTTGGTCGAAAATCATTCTACGTGAAGCAAGGCCAATGCGTTCAATATGAAATCGAGGGGAGCAACCGAGTTCGAAATTTATACATCTAAGAGGGTGGTCAAGCTGGAGATTTTGATGCTGCTGGCCATTGCGTGCACATATTTGATGTCTGGGAATGTTCAAGCTTCTTCTCGCTCTCTGTGGGGAAATGGTTACTAAGTCTCCTCCACTGTCTTCATTTAAATGCTGAAATATCTAGTCACAATAGAAGCGTTGCTTTAGGGCCCTTATTTACAGAAGTATTTCACTACCTTTCTCTCAGGCTGTAGATATGAATTTTGATACCTATAGTAGGCGCAGAAACCAGGTAGAAGTTTGCCCAGTCAAGAATGGTTCGCCTCCATGACCATTTTTTTTGTTCAGAATTCTTAGGGCCACTCGCCTTATCTTTTCTGTATTACGAGTATTGAAGCGCTGAAACGTGCTTAAAATTATGATTCGATCACAGTTCTTTTATGTGGACTTATCGGCTCACTCAGTCCGGACTTCACGCCCGAAACCGTATCAAGGCAATTGCATACTCAAGAAATGGTGAGGAACGTACTCACATTGGAAGTACTGACTTCCTGCTTGTTCTCGTTTGGTTTTCTGCAGGATCACTCTCTGCGAAATCGGAGCAAAATGTCAGTATTTCCAAGGGTCAAGAATTTTTTAATCTCCATTTGCTTTGGAGAATCGATCGGTCGAATCACAGATTATTCAAGGCTAGAGAAATTTATTACATGAAGAGATTCTACTGCAAACAGTAACTAAGATTTGCGCATTTACTCTAAAAGAAACCTGTTGATCAAGCTCTCCTGACAATGAATCAGACTTTCAGAGGTTTCCTATCCATGGCTCAGTGATGGCAATCACGGAGCTTTTAGGGATTATGTCCACCTCGTTTTCTGCAAAAACGTTTCTTAAATTTGCCGCGTTTCTTGCACTGCAGGACACGAACATTGATTCGTCATCAGAGTTGTTGCAGGTACCTGACGTGGTGCAAAGAACTTTGGTGCCTCACAACGATTTGCGGCCATCAAGACGACACCCGTCACCACAATCACATCCTCGACATTACAATCAAGAAGTCGATGCAACTGCCGTAGCAGGTCCCCGGCCCCCTCCCCCTCCCCCGGGAGACTCTGGTCCTCCTCCTTCAATAGGTCAGTGACGGATTAAGCTGCAGATTATCCCCCCTGATTCCTGTGTATATAGATTATTCTTGATCAGCAGCAATCAAAACTTTGGCGAATGTAAGCCACTAAGACTACATGTGAACGATGTTGTCCATGCTTGCTGAGTTCAGATTCCACTTTTGTTACATCAAACCTACGAGCTTCTAATTTCAGTGTTTCTACAGTCTTTTTCCGATGCAAAATTTGTGAATTTTTTTCCGCTAACATTCATTCAGGGAGCAAATATGCTCTACAATGTATTGCATTCTGAGTATTTATGAGATGAAGCTGCATGTGCATTAAACACGTCATTTTGCTGTACTGATATTCAATGCTGAGGAGCTCAACGTTCAAATTGTAGGGAACTGAGTAAAGGTAAAGGATTGAGTTCACTTCAAAGGACCCGCCAAAAGAGCCGCTCACGTAGCCAGCAAGAGCGCGAATCTGTGGCTGCCAAAGTGGCAGGGTGAGAATTGTGGGGTATGGTCTTTACCATTAACGCGTCTTGAGGTATTGTACAACTAGTAGCACAGAGAATTATTTAGAGAAGAAGCAGATTGTAGTTACTACTCCAACATTTAGTCTAGAAGTATTCGCTGGCGTGAGGTCAAGGTCTTTTGAACTGAAAGTTAACAGAAATTACTGCGAATCAATAGTTTGTGCTTCTTTGATCTCATGTCATTACAATGGATTTACTTATCAAAGCGCATTTACTCGGATTCTCTTCAAAATCAAATGTTTTCAGGCCGAGCAAAAATTGCACGTGTGTGTGACCCGGGAGAACCTATTTCGATCCTTACTTTGTGCCTTCAATTCTTTGTAGGCCCATAGGTATTCCCGACCTCCATGGTCAAAAAGGTTTTTGGAAGATTTAAGTCCAATTAGTGACTTTTGTCGTGTGACCTACTTGTCAACCACATCTAGCTCTAGTCAGCAGCTTTCAACGCTACCGGATTTCTTCGTCAACAATGTCTGGATGTTCAAATGAGCAATCGTCGCGACAACGTTAACCAGACCATGGTCTCTGGTCAAAGTAGGAAAGGACATTTCAGCTTAGGACCGTAAGTTTCAACCCAGTCGTGTCAAACAATGAACTTCTGTCTAAGACGATTCTACTTCCTTGACATCCATCCATTTTCTTAACTGCAGGGTTAACCCACACTGCAACACTGCAGGCTCCAACCCTGCAGGGGTTGGAGCAGGACCCCCGGACTTTGTTTTGTCGGACACCAAAAAACCAAAAAACTCCGAACTTGCCGCAAATTAATACTACAAGTCATGGGTGACGTTTAGGGTGACGTTCTCATTGGGAAGGATCTCCGGAAGCAGAAGCAGAATTCAAATGAACCAAAGTCAGAGAGTTTCCACTATGGCGTCGCTCTCTGCCCAGAGCTATTCCCCGATCTTGGCAGTCATTGAAATTGAATCACTTACTAAGCTCTTCAGGATTATCACTGACGTGATGGTACATTAGCGTTGGATTGTAAGTCAATCTCAAGGTGAATTTTGGTATACTTTATCTTTTCTACAATTCGAGAGATACTTGGGCCCCCATTGTAATGCTTCACCATCCCTTTGGCATTGAGATCCTCAAGATATCCATGGTTCATTGAATGATTCACAATGTGAGTGAATCCGCGATTCTTTGAAATGTAGCCCTGGATTAATCCAAGGCTTCCATTCAGAAACAGCTGGGTTCTACTGTCATCAAATTCAGCCTGTTAGATCATCAGAAAACGAACCACCTGATCATGAACATGCAGGCTTCATATACTTTTCAAATTACTTCATGAACACCTGAGTTATTACTGCATATAATCGTACGTGAAGAATTTGAAGCATTACGGTAATAGTATTCCGAGAAGCTGTCGAATTCTTAATTGAAAAGCTGTGTCCTGGATCCTTACCACTGACCACGATTTTACTAGTCATCTCCACAAGGCCTTCGTATCTGATGAGCCACGTTATACACCGGATACTTAACATAAAGTATCCCCTGTATAACATTCCAGGAGGAGAATCGGAACCTTTCTTCAAGGTTCAGTTTCAAGTAACTTGGTATGGATTGCACCTCTCTCGTAATTCGGACTCCGATCATTATTGTATAGAACAAATAAATAGTTTAGATATATGCATATCTCAGAGTCAGCGGGGATAGCTCAGTTGGGAGAGCGTCAGACTGAAGGTCGCGTGTTCAGAGTCAGCGGGGATAGCTCAGTTGGGAGAGCGTCAGACTGAAGGTCGCGTGTTCGATCCACGCTCACCGCAGTGAAATTTTAATATCTCTCTTGGTATAATCTCATCCCATACTTGCATCTTCCGTACACCCTCCGCCCGAAGTCCCCGTGTCTTCCGAACACACTTCGTTTGGGTCAAGCAGATGCTTTCTCGTCTGCTTCGGAATATCTAAGAGCACGGCGGGAAGTACTTCGTCCTTGGCCAGCAAGAACAGCTGCTTTCCATAACTCGTTCGGTTCTGTTCTTTTGCACTTGTCGTCTCAAATGTTCCACTTCCATGTCCCCTCCTCCGGACTCGGTGAGAAAGCGGGTATTCGCAGGCCAAATCCAATGTGAAAAAATCTTCACGAGACCGAACTATACTTGTAAGTTTACTGTTCTTTGCAACACACAAATGCCAGTTCTTTAGTTGTAAATTAGATTACAAGTCACTGCATTCTTTTCACAACAGTTACTTTTGAAGTTCCGTTCTTGCTTGGTCCATTGATCTACATATGCATTACTCACATGTGAATGTGGCATTATGTTAGATGTAGCATATTTCCAAATGACTTGTTATCCATTCGGAGTGCAAAGGATAGCTACCCATGATGATATTAAGTATGTGATATTTGTTATGGCACGAGAATGTTGATACCTCACATGGAGGAAGTATTGGTATGCTTTGTAGTCCCCCTATACTTGGTTAGGGAGTGATTCGGGAGGACCATGTTATTGTTGTAGATGTGGTGGTTATCGATCCTACACGTGATATAATTCTAGAGAGAAGGGGGTGATTATGCTTTACAATCGACTAGGGTTAGCGTAGACATATACTTGATTGGGGAGGACCAAGTTAATGTTGCAGACATGTGGTTACCAATCCTACACATGACACGGTTTGACAGAAAGTAAAGTGGCATCAATGTCCATATAATTCATTACTCATTCAGAGTATAGGGGATAACTACCCATGATGTCATTAGGGATGTGATGTTTGCTATAGCACGAGAGGGTGGAAACCTCACATGGAGGAAGCATTGGTATGTTTTGCAGTCAACTAGGGTTTGGCCATACCTATATTTGGTTTGTTAGAACCATCAATGGAGCGACAACAACCAAGGTTACTCATCCTTGGCTGTTATCGACGAGGATAAGGTCATACCTTTACTTGGTTTGGTAGTACCATATTACTTTATAGATGTGATGGTTATTGATCCTACATATGACATAATTTTATAAAGGAAGGGATGAATACCTATACTTCTAGATATACAGCGAGTAAAGCGACAGTAGCCAAGGTAATCGATCCTACATGTGACATAGTTTTATAGAGGATGGGGTGATTACCCATACTCCTGGATACTTCAACTAGGGTTACGGCATAGCTGTACTTGGTTTGGAAGGACCATGTTACTATTGCAAATGTGATGGTTAACGATCCTACACGTGATACAATTTTAGAGAGGAGGGGATGATTACCCATACTCTTGGATGGACGGCAAATAGAGTGACAGTAGCCAAGGTAATCAATCCTACACATGACATAATTGTAGAGAGAAGGGGATGATTATTCATACTCCTGGATGGGGGCGAATAGAACCACAACAGTCAAGGTCTCCAAGAATATGGCTATGCAAATAGTTCATCTCTTTGTTCTTCTAACTTTGGAGTTATATGGAGCTATGGATATTTACTTCGACATGTTCGTGGGAGAATGCGCAAGAGCCTACCATACTAGGTGGTAGGAAGGTCATCTCTTTGTTCTTCTAGATTTGGAGTTGTATGGAGCTATGGACACCTACTTCGACATGTTCATGAGAGAGTGCGCGAGAGCCTACCATGCTACGCGGTAGAGGTATCACTCTCTTTAGCTCTAGAGAGGTCACCTCTTTGTTCTTCTAGATTTGGAGTCTACCATACTAGGCGGTAGGGGTATCACTCTCTATCTCTCTAGAGAGATCATTTCTTTGTTCTTCTAGATTTGGAGTTATATGGAGCTATGGACACCTACTTCGACATATTCGTGAGAGAGTGCGCGAAAGCCTACCATACTATGCGGTAGGGGTATCACTCTCTTTAGCTCTAGAGAGAGCACTAGCTAATGCATCTTGAGAGAATGCATGAGAGCCTACCATACTTTGTGGTAGGGAGGTCACTTCTTTGTTCTTGTAGCTTTGGAGTTCTATGGAGATATGGACACTTACTTTGACATGTTCATTATAGGGGTATCACTCTCTTTAGCTCTTGAGAGGTCACCTCTTTGTTCTTGTAGCTTTGGAGTTATATGGAGATATGGACACTTACTTTGACATGTTAGTTACATGGGTATCACTCTCTTTAGCTCTTGAGAGGTCACCTCTTTGTTCTTCTAGATTTGGAGTTATATAGAGCTATGGACACCTACTTCGACATGTTCATGAGAGACTGTGTGAGAGTCTACCATACTAGGCAGTAGAGGTATCACTCTTTTTAGCTCTAGAGAGAGCACTAGCTAGTGCATTTCGAGAGAATGCACGAGAGCCTTCCATACTATTAAACATGTTTGTGAGAGAGTGCGCGAGAGCCTACCATACTATGCAGTATGGGTATCACTCTCTTTAGCTCTAGAGAGAGCACTAGCTAATGCATCTTGAGAGAGTGCACGAGAGCCTACCAAACTAGGCAGTAGGGGTATCACTCTCTTTAGTAGGGATATCACTCTCTTTTAACTCTAGAGAGAGCACTAACTAGTACATCTTGAGAGAGTGCATGAAAGCCTACCACATTTGCGGTAGGGAGATCAACTCTTTGTTCTTCTAGCTTTGGAGTTATATGGAGATATTGACACTTACTTCCACATGATTGTGAGAGAGGGCATGGAATCACATTAACTTGCATCGGGAGATGAATGGCAGACATGCAGGAATACCAATTGTACTCCGCCGACACTGGATTTTTAAAGAACTGCTGCTGCTGGCAGACCTACAGATGAGTTGAAATGGAATCAAGGATTGAATGCAAGAATATCAGATGCCCTTCAGTCAACCATTAGCGTATCTGGACTTCGTGATTGATTTCGAAGGAGTAAAATCTTATCGTCAAAGAGCCAAGTTGCGAGAGTCTACCATACAAGGGGGTAGGGGTATCACTCTCTTTAGCTCTAAAGATCACTACCTAGTGCATCGCGAGAGTGCAGGAGAGGCTACCATACTGGGCGGAAGTTGTATCAGTCTCTTTAGTGCGTTACCAATCATTGCGTGAGCTACAATTTCTGCTCCCGGAAATTCCTCTCCTCGAATCAAGTCCAGAAAAGGGCCCGGCCAGGGGCCAGACAATTTTTACGATGTGAGGGATGTATCAAGGTCCCAATCCAGTGTCTTCGTCATGAAACAACTTTGATTACTATATGTTCCAGTTTGTACCACAACGTGCTTCGTCATTGTCTTCTAACCTGGTAGTTGGAATTGCGTCAACACGAAGACTGGGACTTGAAATCCACGGCATGTTAGGGTGCACGCGGTTGATATTCAAAATTGCGGAAACATGGCATCAGGTTGACTAGTCAGATAGTAAAATTTGGGTTTGTTGGGACAATTAGCGTATCGAGCGCAAAATGCATGAATCACGATTCACAAGTTGCTTAACTTCTTTCTATCTCGGTTAGGTGGAAGATTTTACAGGTAAACAATTCGGTGTGATGGATGGAGTTTTCAGATTGCCTTAATCAAAGTCCGGAAATTATCGAATATTCGAAGTTGTACTGCCATAAAGAGCGTCTTGTATGAATGAGATCTTTAGACAGCACTTATCAGCGGCAAATTCTATACAATAGGATATAATATCTTCCATAATGTATTAACCGGGCTTGAAATGTATATTTTTGGTCCAAGTTTGGAACCGGTCAATGCAATGGTTTAGGATTATGATGCACGTTAAAAAACCATAGCATTGAAGCAGAGACAATTATTAACATGCATTAGGAATGTGCAAGTTAGACGCATGTGGATACCAATATGCCTGACAAAAATTGTTTCATGTTGATCAAAGCTGTCCAAATTCAAGCGGATCATGTACGATCAGCTTGCTTTACCAGTTGAAGTGGGATCGTAATCTATAGCAGATGATCCTATCTTGTAATGAGTAACTAGAATGGCTGTTACAATTGAATACACCTTACCCTGGAAGCTGATTCGATGTGACCTCGTTCATACATGACCGTATGAATCTAGCAAGGCCTACGTTGTATTTTTGTTCAGCATTGGTGGAGTTGCCACATTATCCATTGCTGTCATACAGATACGCCTTGCAGTGCAAGTAATACGTATTTAGAACGTGATTGGATGAAAGATCTTGGGTTCCATCGCACTAGCATACACGAGGCTCTAGATCACAGTGCCAACACTAAGAAATGATGAAGGTGCTTTTAGAAAGGTAGCTTTTGTGGCGGGTCCAGATCAAAGCCCATCCTCGAAATTCTTCTCTGAATATGTTCTCTAGCAGAAAGTGAATCACAGAAATAAGTCATGAATTGTATCTTGTCCAATCCACTGGATAAATCGCACGTGTTCATCAGCTTCTGCTCACACGAATCCTGGCATCTCAGAACGGACTCTTAGACATTCAAGCCTATGAGTGTCTTCCTTGGATCCGAACATCGTCCACTGATCAACAGCTCTACGCTAGCGCTACTTTATTCCACAACGTCAGTAGAAGGGAATGGAAATGGCAATATCTAGAGCTTGCCATAATTCCAGATCGAAGACTCTATTCGAATGAAGAGAGATTTTGGTCTTCGGACTTGGAGACTTACGTGTTTATTCACAACTATAGTAGTCTATATTCAACGACTTTCAGTTCGAATCTCGTTCTGTCAAAGCATAGACTTTTGTCCGGCGAGAAACAGGACTGCACCTTCGGGTAGATATAATGTTCATTAGTTTATCTCAATAAACGCAGCAATCAACACACATATGCACTTGAGCAATCAACATAAATGAACTTTTGGTGTTCAGACTAAAGCAAATCACCTGCATTGGACGTGTGTAGTTCTATCACCTGGTTTTGTGCCACAACAGGTTTCTGC